GTTATTTATCCTGCTTTTCTCTGTCAGACCAAATTGTGCTGGTTGCAGGAGACTATCCAAGTTGAAGGAAACACCTTTTCACTAAATTGCTTCTGCAAAATTACAGAACCAGGCTAGGCTCAGTTGACAAGGCTATTTGCAACATATGCATATCCCAACTGACTTCAGCACAAGAATCCAAATCCAAAACATTTGAAAGCGTGGAAGATCCAACAACAGAAAATTGAGATACAACCAATACAACCAACCAAAGATGCACATTAGGCTACCCCTTTAAAATAATGGTTTTGACTAAGAGTAATAATCAGTGATGATAATGACAATAAACTGAGTATTTTAGGAAATTATTTTATCAAGGATGTATGGTGTTCAATGATATTTAGTTTTTTAAGCAATTCTCTTTCTCTGTCAACCATACCAGGAATAATTGAATTGGCACAAGAGCTGGCTAAAGATCCACAAAGCCTTTGCTGAACTCTTAGTAGACAGGACATATGCTTTATACAAGATGAGCAATGGTGTGAAGACTATCCAACTATCCGGAAGTACTAGAGGAAATAAGCAGTGTCCCCTTCAGAGATATTTGCAGCGTAGTTGCATCGGTCATGTTTTATTATGCCTTACATACGAGGACGCTGTCAGTGTCATTTCACCAAAACAGGGCGTACAGAAAGCAGGCAGGACCCAAATAAAGGAGCTGTGGAAGAATTCGGGGAAGATGTAAGGTCAGGATTTTCAAGAAGGTGAGAAAAATGCACTAAACAACTGTTCATCAACAGATAGAAAATATTTGTATGTTTTGCTAGGTGCTATTTGAGGACAAAAGGGGGTTAGCAGGCAGCATGCAACAGGCAGGCAGGCAGAGAGGGAGGTATGATCCACAGAAACTGAAGCAATAATCTGACACTGTATGTGTGAAAACACAGGGTTGAAATACTATAAGGCAGGTGAGCAGACTGGGAAAGGTGATGAGCCAGCTGCAAGCAGGTGGTGCACGAAGAGGAGAGCCAGGAGCCGGAAGGGAAGCAACGCCCATACAACATACACATACAGAAACAGACCGGGAAATACGGGGAAATGACTGATAATGATAATGTAATAATCTTTTTGTAATTATTTTGCTAGTAATTTTAGCCTGTTGTTTGTATGGAATTATATTTATTTCCAAATACATTATTTTCTATTTGACTAAAAAGTTGCTTGTTGCACATTTAAATCATGAAACAATTTTGTGCAAAGGGGTGAAGCATCTGGCAATGTTTGGGATACATTTGAAAGCAGAGGGATGAACCGTGCTCGACTGCATGTGACACCCTGTGCCAAGCCCATCAGCTGGAATTGTGGCCATCCCTGGCACATAGATATTACTAGATGTGACGGTCATAGTTGCCATTTGTATCCATGACAGGGAGACCACTTATGATGACAACAGCAGCCTTTTCCGCAGGTAAGCAAAAAAATGTCACCAAAATATTTGCTGAAGATTGAAGTTGGACTTTGTAGAATACCAAGAATACCAACTCAAAATGTATATTGCTGTTGTTATTACTGTAACTGATATTTAGTGTTCAATTATTGTACTTATACTTTATACATATATATATTAATATATATTTAAGTATACTTCAAATTACTATTAACTATTAATTAATATAATGTTCAATTTCAAGTTCAACTTTGTTTTAGCAATAAAAAAAAGCTATTCTTTACTGTCATTGACTGCCATTTTGTGCTTTTTTATTATTATTAAAGTATCTGTTTAGGCACCGTAGAAAAACCTCAAATAATACCCAACCCTAAAAGAAAAATTTCACTGAACTAAAATGTAAAAATACAGTTTATAGTTATAGTTGCTGTCATGGGTCATACTTTACTTTGCTATAGTAGAACCCTCCCAAGTTTGATCCTGTCTGTTTTTAAGGACAGATTCTGATCAGCACTGTGGAGCAGTGGAGTCCCTAGCAGATTTATGGAAGAGGCAGGCAATTTGCCAATCACATTACTACTTATATCTAGTCTCCCACAAAATTATTTTTTCTTGGAAATTTTGTTGGATTGTACCATGTCTAATATAATGGTTTTTTTTTGCTTTTCAAAGGATCTAAAGTTGGTGACATTATTTGTTGTTGTTTGGTTTAGAGCAAATCATAATCTTTGGTATCGATATTTATGGTCACCAGAGGATGATGCCTACCGACTATGGTGACCTTGTGACATTTTCTCTATCATCACAATCATGCCAAAGTTTCTACCTCTTCATAACTTTCTTCATCTTATGTATCTCTACATAAAACACTATATGAAGATCATCTTGTCTCTTTGCCTTTGTTGTATTCCAGGCACATTTTATTTCTAAATCAAGTTTGGATGTCTAAATGTGTTGGGATTTGAAATACTGGTAAATAGACACGTTGGCTTCAGCTTCAAAATGTAAATCTTGAACAAACACACATACTTCTCCTGCTCTCTGCCTCCCGTTCCCTCCTCTGTCCTCCCCTCCTTGTCCTCCTCCTCCAGGCGGATAGCGTGACAGATCTGTCACGTTGGCACCTGGTCGTACACAAGTGTTAATGTCCCCACCTCAGCTGAGAATCACTGGACCACTGACACCATGCAAGTGTGTCTGTGTGAATATATAAGTGTGTGTGCCTGAGACGTTCTGCAACTAATTGTATGTATCCTCTCTAAACCTGAGATCCTACAAAAGTTAAGTTCTTAAAGGAATTGACAGGGTGATGGAGATTTAGCCAGCGTTACGTATAAATATGCATATTTCTGTCTGTGTTAGCCTGTGTGAGTTTCTGTGTGTGTGTGTGTGTGGCACGGATGCACCAGGCAGGGGTCCCATCCCCTGTCACTCAGAAACAACAAGCCAATCATTCCTGGGTTCTAAAATAAGCTCTCCTCCTCCCTTCCGTCCTCTCCCCCCCTCACATGTGCTCCTCTCGTCACCACCTCTCACCTTCAGAGTGACAGGAGACAACTGAGGGGGGACAGAGGAGCTGAGGAGGAAATGGTTGACAGCAGGAGAGTCAGCAACTTTTGGGATGAAAGGTGGGAATGGTAAAAAATCAGGTTGAGTAACTCAGTTAAGAACTGCACAACTAAATCAATCAATAGATTGACTTTCCACATAATCATTCCTGGAGGGGAAATTTAAGAACAAGTGCAGCTGTACGATGTTGTACTGCATATCATGATGCCTGTCGTACAGTTGTAACCTATCAGACTATTTCAGATTCCTCACTTACAAAATAATCTGCATCTCAGAAATCCAAAGTAGGCTATATGGGGCCAGTCTTTAGGGAGGTCTTATATTTGTACCATGAGAGCTTTCCATCAGACTCTACTGGAACCAACCAACCAAGATTTTTTTTTTCATTTGATTGAAATGAGCTCATTTGTACTGAGATAATGGGATTTACACATACAGTAAATGTCCGTATTTGTGGTAGAATTCCCAAACCGCAGTGCAGTGTAAGTTCAAAATGGCCACCTTGGGACCATCATTCTGTAATGACAAAAAGTGTTTTCAGGAGTTTGAGTTCATTCTCAGACCTATCTGCAATTTCAGTTGTAATTTTTAATTGTGTTTTTTGTCATGATATTAAGAAAAAGTATTTTCTTTTTTGGGTGGCTGCTAAAGTTTGTTGTCTTCAATTTTTCCTTTTGTTTCCTACAGACAAAGGCTCCTTGGTACTAGCTATTACAAGAGATTAAGTGTGTTGCACTTGTCTTGTTTTCTTTTCAACATTTATTTTGGGAAACGAGGTAGAGGAGAAATATGTCTCTGTGTTTTGTCTTGGTTTCTTGGAGTCTTTAGAGTGCTTGTTCAGGTGTTAAAATGTGTTAGAATTACAAAGCTTCTTGGCTTATTGGCAGCAGAGTAGTATGACTTTGGAGGAGGAAAGGGGGGGTCACTACTCCGGGATCTAGATGAACTTTGAGACTGTGAGGTCACACACTCGCTGACAACTCAACCACCTGTTGCCACACACACAAATGTGCACACATATCTGCACCCTCACACCCACATCCACATTCACTGCACACCCTGTCTCATGTTGTAGGTATTAGTTTGCATGGTCATTACACAATAAAGACAATGTGTTATTTGCTTGTGCGTGTATGTGTGTGAATGTGCCCGTGTGTATGTGTGTGCCTGAGAGTTGTTCTTTCTCCCTGTCTCCTGTGGTATTTTTCATTTCTCTGGCATCCAAAGCTGCCCCAGTCTTCTTTATCACACAAAGACATACACACATACGCAGTACCACTAGCATACACAAGTAAGAATTTATAAGCATACAGTCCTCCATTCTTTGTTTTCACAAGGAAATATTATTATAAGCATTGTAATTGCTTAAGTTTTAAAAAATGTGGAAAGAAAACGCTCACACGTGTATGTTTACAATTGTCTTAATAAACAATACGAAATCAGTTAAATTAGTAAGATTTGATTACATATGAACATTGTGACATGAATAGATATATTTTATTCGGCTCAAAAAGGTCATAGAACATGTTTATGTCCTCGGCCAAAGGGCGTGCTGATATAGCGCGTGCTTGCAAAGAAAAGCTTTTCGGTTCAGGTTCAAGGTTGGCTGTTGCGTACCTGACTCAGTCTAAAGAGCAGAAGCAGGTGCATTGGGGTTTTTAAGTGCGAAGGGTCACACAGCCCTTTATATACACATCTCTCCTCCCACCGGCCTTCCCACGTTATATACACAGTGATCATGTGCAGTTACGTCTGTGTCACACAAGGAAAGATGTACTTCAGCCTGACATCCAAACAGCTGCATCAAGTAAACGTCTGTCAAACCAGACGTAGAATATGTAGATCAGTCCATCATCTGTCATTCTCCCACAGCTTTAACCTCATAAGTCCATAACTGTCATTGGTATAATTCCCATGACTCTCATCATGGCCATGATATCATCATGTGAATATGTGACAGGCTCCTGGTGTTGGGTGTAAAAGTTGTTTTAAAAAGTCTGAGTGGTGAAAAGGCCCTGCCTGTAGTGCATATTACTAGATGGACTTGAGCTACATGTTTGTTAATCCAAAGATTTGATCGAGAACACCACCAGGCATGTAAAGACAAAGAATTTAATTGACAAAAGGAATTTTTGGTTGATATATCCCATAAAAACAAGTTTAGAAGTAGTGTTCTGTAACTCCATCCAAAGTAGGCAAGATCAAGGAGCAATGCAGAATGTGAGTATAATAGTTACTGCTTCAGGGCCTGCCAGGGGTTGAAGTGCTTGCTTTGAGTGCCTGGGCCAGCCCAGTTTCTGCCCAATCCATATTCAGTTCCAGTTCAGTCACTGGGTTACATTGTCCATTATCCAAAGCTGCAGGAGGTTTCTCCCTTTAGTGACCACTGCAGCTGCACATGCATGTCCTAGAGAACATACTTGAAAGATAAGAACTCGATAAAAAATATTCCTTTCAGTTAAAGAAGCTTTGACAAGCTCTTTATGCTCAAAGAGGCAGTAGCTTGATCTGTCACTGTCTCTGCTTGTCCACAATTCAGCCCAATGCTTGTTCAGCACATGGATGATTAATTTGTAGAACGTTCTGGAACAAAAGCAACTTACACCCATTCCAGGGTGTCATTTTGTTTTTGTGACAACCCTAGATGTCCAGAGTCAAATTCAGCCCATGTGGGCAGTGACCTGTGAGGCCCCACCTCCCGGCTGGCTACCTGCCAGTCCTAAAGTCCGAGAGTCAAACAAGAAGCCCTGCTGTCCTCCACTGAGCACGCCCAGACTGTCCGTTAGAGTCCCACTGGGAGATGAGCCAAGGAAGGGACTTTGATGATTGGCAGTGGCAGCGGCGGCCATTTTATCTGGGCTGGCAGCGAGGCGTGGTGAGGGAGGGAATGTGTAACCGTACAGGCTGTAGGGTGGTGTGTGGAGGCGCAGCCCAGCGTAACCCTGCGGGGTGGGGTTGGACAGATAGCCAAGTTGAGAAGCAGGGAGAGGAAGGGAACAGAATCCTTCGCTTTCATACACCGATGGACCTCTGGGAGGGGGGAACGGCTCCGGGGGGTTGCTATAACGATGGAGAGGGTGTGTGGGTCGGCTGCAGGTGTAGTCAGGCGGGCTGAGAGGGCAAACCTGGAAAGGTGAGGAGCACGGGGATGTGGAGAGCAGGTGAGGTGATGCTCCGACCCCTCCATGAGCTCCAGGGACCCCTACACAAACAGAGCCAGAAAAACAGACTTAAATGATTGGTTGGTTATTGGTTCAAACGCCTAAAACAACTAGGGTCCAATAAGCTACATAGCCTTATAAGGTGAACTGAGTATCAGCCAAGACATGACTAATATAACAATATCAGTGTTTCCGCTATCAGTTGCATTCATTCAGTCCCTGTGGGCTGCCGACTGAGCTTTTACCTTGAGTTGAGTTATAATAATCGGTAGCAAGAGATAAAATGTTGGATAGGGGCATCCCTAAGAATGACCTTGGATAATGTCTCCGGATGTGGTCGGGCAAATAATGATAGTTTTAGCTAAATCTCTTTGTAAGGTTGGGGTGGGTGTACAAAGACCGTGATTTTGACAGGGGACACCTCCTTTTGCATAACACCTCCTACTAACGGTCATAGTTGGTTTCTTGTAACCATGACTACAATCTTTTCCTAATCTTTACCATGTACTTTTTGTACCTAAACCAAACCTTATCCATAGCAGTGGCAGATAATAGTAGGCCTACTATAAATTATTTTTTGTAATGGTCATGTAACGTTTTGGAAGGCACTGACAAACAATACCGTACTGTTAATCGGGGCGACAGATTAGCAATGACAATGGATAACTCAACTTATTCTCAGTATCCACAAAACTCCTGTCATTTTACTCTACCTTGCTTGGCCATGCCAGGAATGTCCTCAAATGTGAGTGTTCGCAGAGATGGACGCCAGAATGCATACGACTCAACCAAAGCCTCCAGACCCATCCTGTAAAACACACACAGATGCAGATGTTAACACACATACATTACTGGTAAATCATCACAAAATCACTCAGAGCACAACGTCCTTGGCTCGCACTTTCTTCAGTCACTGATGCAGCTGCAGCTGCTCTCTCCCAGCATGCCTCACTGGGTTGTACATTATGCCAACCACCTGGCGGCCATCTTCGTCGCCCGTGGGGCCTTTCTTACTGTCTCCATGGAGACCGCAGGTAATGAGGGGCATAAACGCCACATTGCGATTGGCTGCTGCCAGCCGGGTGCTCGGAGGTAATTGCTTTCACACGGCTTTTACGGGCGAATCAGGACGAAGGAGCAGGAAGCCGCAGCAAGGATTTATGAGGTGGGACTCCCCTTCCCCCCAATCTGCGTCCCCCTCCTCCTCTAGGTGGGGCAGAGGGTTGCTGTGGCGGGGTAATGCGAGTGCTCTGTTACCCCTCGTTAGCGTGAGGATAAAAGTCCTCCCCCCCGCGGGGTCGTAGCCACGGTGATAATTTAGACAAGCTGCCCGGAGCGGTTCTGTGTGCTCCAAAGCAGCCTATCAGAGCAGAAGTTTATTTAGCAAACTGCTTAACTCTTCCTGTAATATTTAAGGGGAGGTTTTTTTTTTGGCCTTCCTGAGTTTAACTTTTATAGGGTCAGCTGTCAGGGTTATCCAGTTTGCCGTTCTCTACCTTCCTCCCTCTCAAATTTTCTGTCTCACACGTTCCTTCTCCTCCTCTTTCTCCTGCTTTCCCCCTTTCTCTCCCCTCCTCTCTAATGATTTCTGTGAGGCCTCAGGGGAGTGGCTGTTTGGAGACTGTTGGAGTTTTACTGCCGTGTTGTTTTAATGCTGTGTTTATATATGTTTAGAAATGTGTTTATACAGATTTTCTTCAGGAGACTCTTGACTTTTATTATTTTGCTGTTGATGTTTATGTTCCCGAGGCTGGCTGGAATCTGACGCTCCATTTAGGTTTGCATCCGAGGTTAGATTTTTCCCTCTCAAAGCATGTGCCTGTAACTATGCAATTGCGGGAATTAATGTGCCTTTAAAGTTAGCACATTTAAATAAAAATGCATCACCGATTAATACGGTGAAATCATAATAATATGTGCCACGTCTGTTTAGTTTAGTCAATTTCTTTTCTGCCATTTAGGACAGATTTAATGGGAGGCTGTTGCACATTTTCCATTAGAAAAAAATAAATAAATACATAGCTTTGCTCCCCATAAAATCTGACTGAAATAGCCGTGACAAAAACCACAACCAAGCCAGAATATAATGCAGTCATGCATCCCACATTACCCCTAATGCACTAGATAATGTGAAAATCTCTGTGGTTGAAATGAACTCACCGGTTTCTGCCAGAGTCTCTGAAGCCCTTGGCAAATGGGTTTCTGTCAATTTTCAGCCTTGTAATCTGCAAAGTAAAATAAGACTCTAATTATTTCCAAAAATTTTGTTATTACAAAGTCCATGATAACATACTGTATAAAGCATGATTTTTTTCCCGCAAAAATAATTTTCTTTCTCTGTAATCTTTCAATCAGATTTATAAATAAGCAGCTCATTGTGCTGTGGGAATGCACGCATGTACTTGTATGTTTCCTTGCACATATATGTGAATTTGTGTGTATGTGTGTGTGTGTGTGCGTGTGTGTGCACGCGAATGTTGGTTAATGTCGGTGGGGCTGCCCAGGCTGTGGGTGGTGTTTAAGGCCCAGCTCTATGACCCGCATCCAAAGGGACTTTTATAGGCATCGCCACGATGTTCTAACTTCAGTCAGCCAACCAGCTAACATCATACTTCAAAGCTCACATTGACTGGTCCAGTGTAATAATCCAGAAAAACCAGTAGCTTTCCCTCATTGAAGTGACTTTGAAATTCAGTGGGCAAAATTCAGAAAATATGAGACACTATGTAGAAATACAAATTCTTAAAAAATCAACTTAAGTGAGTAGCACCGTAATTTGTTGACAGTCCCTTCAATAACCCTTTTACTCTGTAAAACTGGTTAAACAAACTGCAGGACCTTTCTCTCATTCACTCCCACCGTTTTGTAAAACACACACACATGCATAAACAACCATGTGCACACGCACTCAAAGCCATGTTGGCCATTTCAATGTGTTTTGTTCATCCAGTGGTGTTGGTTTTGAGAGGAAATGTGGTTGTGTGGAGGTCAGCTATGCTACCTGTTGATTCTGATATGCTGTGACGGTGGTGAACACAGTCTCAGGGAAGGAGAATGTGCGGGTGCCTTCCCCAGCAGGGACTGCTCTCACTGGGGACAGCTCCTCTCCACACTCCTTACGGATCACATGGACCCGCGGCTGGTACTTGTGCATGGAGTGCAGAATGATCTGAGCAGGGAGGAAAAATGTATTCATTCAGGCTTAAATTACATAACAGAAATGTCATGTTAGTCACAGCTATATAAGATAATTGTTGGGTAATGAAAATGCATATGCACCTGCACACACAAAGAAACACACACAAACATCCACAATATGTCACACTGGGGACCGCCAACGTAAAGAGCTTACAATAATGTCAGAATTGTGATTTTAAATATATATATATGTATATATATATATAAATAATTTTCTTCTTGTAACTATTATTGCAGAGAAATATTGAGTTGCAGGCTTTTTTCGTCTTGTAATTTTTTTTTTAGATGATGTTTGCAAGAACTTTAAAGGGATACTGTAGACAAAAATATAAAATCAAAATATTAAATTATATTGTCCTAATATAGATTATACAGGCCTACCATTAAATAGGCCACATTTGAGGTAAGAACACCCCTAAGTATCACAGATACATGATAATATCACATAAATATTTTCATGTGGCACTTACATGTCCCTGGTCGTCCAGTTCGTTATTGGTCAGTTTAAGTTTGTCGAAGCTGACCACCTGACGCATCCACGTCTCTCCTGAGGCAGGGGAGTCCGGGTGGATGTACACTCTAGGCGGCACAGGAGAGTCCGCATTCCCCGCTACCATCCATTTGGAGCTGTGGTACACGTACCTTTACAATTCACACACACACACAGGGTGGTAAATGAACACAATGTCCCAAGTCTGCATGTTCCCGTTCTGCTATGCACATTTCACATGCACAACTGCGTCAAATAGCCAGAAAAAAAGACTGATATTGGCTTTACATATTTTAGCATAACTTCCGAAAAAGTCTTTATTTACTTTTTTAAGCAAATACCACGGATCAAACATATTTTTCCTGTGTGCTACATTTCATATGAAGATGTTAAACAAAGCGCCTGCCAACTGAAATGTCCGCTTTGATTTTAAAGCAGGCCTAAAGCTATTTCCTTTTTTTCCTTTTTTCTTTTTAAACTATTTTAGGCATATGCAATTAGATACCGGTATGTCATAGCTTAAAACGATGTGAATGTATATGGCCTTCAGCTAGAACTAATTAGTTCCTCGTCTGGTTAAAGGTGTTCATCACCTGCTGTTAAACGTTTGGTTAAAAACCTGCAGACTCTCCTTCATTCACGGCGCGCTGTCGCCTGCAGCTCTCGACTGTGTGTGCATGTGAGCACCGGACTGTCTATAGTACACATAATGTGCCATATTTTGTCAGACTGAAAGAATAGTCCTCTAGGATGTCACTCATCACTCCACCACCCCGCTAAAAATGTGTTCACATATAAACGGGTTTTGAAAGTTTGAAATGATAGACCTACAGTTTATAGCGTGCAAACACTTGGCTGCATTGACGCCGTTGCAATAGCACGCTGTTTTCTTCTGCATTATAACGACATTTGTTGGTTTGACCTTTCTGGGGTGGAGAGGTTAGGCATCCAAAAGGCCTTTTCCAAAAGGGACGGCAAAACCGCTGTGACAAAACACCCGTGCCAAGCGCCATTTGTGGAGACTGAACTGGGGTTACACAATTGAAAAATCTTGTGTTGTCTCAAGAACAGTGTATATACAGTCTAAATTAAGACTACATGCTAACGAAAATGACTGTAATATTCCGTTCTATAGGACATGCCTGGGAGGTTATAGGTCACTGATATAATTTCTATCTTCGGTATGACTTTAATATTCCCATTTTCATTTTTTAATTTGGCTTTTGTCAAATACCATTTTAAATTCATAAATAGAATCACAAAAATGTTTCATTACCTCGTTTAACATTGGCATGCACTGTGTGTGTGCGCGCGTTGTGAGTCTTACCTATATCGTTTGTTGTCCACGGGGATTATATCCATGGCAATGTAATACTGCTGATGTGGGTCCAAGCCCGTAATCTTGACACGCATAGCGGGGAACATCCGCCTGACAGGAAAACCAAATAAATCATGTGAATAGGAGATTTCAGCTCAACCACAGACTACATAGATTTGATAATAATAACAATAATCATAATAATGAATACAAATAATAATACAACACAACAACCTGTCTTGGTTAGGGCTTATGCTATTATTAATTTGCTATTTCAGTTTACTTTAATATTCTGGTTTAAATCCTTATTTTTATATGATTTGCAGTTATTACAACTCTTATCTCATTATTTAATATTTAATGAATGTTTTTTATTAGAGGTATAAAATAATCTTCACCAATAACCATTAATATATGTATAAGTCTTTCTTCAGCCATATCTGAGCATCTTTCCTTCTCTAGAACACGAGGCTATCCATTATCAGTTCTGTCTTACCGTCCAGCCTTGGTAATGATCATTTCCGTGCCAATCTCGTGGAACCGTTTCCACAGGTCTGATCCCTGCAGGTCCACGCGGGTCTCCTCTCCGGTGCCGGTTACCGGCGCCGTGCACACAGCTGCGGGCTGCGGGCTCTCCAGCAGCGCGTCCTCGCTCTCTGCTGCACCGGAAAGAGGCGAGATTAGCACGTTTTAATAGTAACACACGCATCTAAGCCAAGCATTATTCACTTACAAGGTGTTACTCTTGTAGACATGTTGTCCTGTGACGCACAGAAAAAAACTAATTTCTGAATACATTTTAAAAGCAATCAAGCATTAAACAGGACGAACTGCCTATTAGATGAAAATCCCCAAGGCTCTAACTGCAGTGTTGCATCTGACATATTGGCTATATGAATATGACTTATTATTATTGCCCATTGCAGTGACTATTGTAAGAAACTATTGCCCAAGAAAAGGTCACACACTTTACTACACACTGCAAGTTATTTTATATCTATTATTTAAAGGAGATAAAAATGCTTTTAGGTTGCCTCACGATAACTAACTGTTGAATACTGGAACTGAAAGCTTGTATGTAAGAATATTATAGTTATATGTCTCTTTAAACTAAGGTCACTCTGCACTCACTACTGAATACACTATAGTATATTATGATACAGTAGAAAAATGGCAAGTTTACTATACACTCAGAACTATAGCCTATAATAATTTTCATGATGGAGTACTTGAGTTTAAATGTGTGTTTTAATATTGAGGATATGTTTAGAGGACACCCTAACAGAAGTGTTTATGTGTCTCACCGCTGTTGTTATTTGTGCAATTCAACACAGGCTTCGCCAGGTGGTGGAAATTTATGGACATTAGACATGGGCCTAACAAGCCAAACTAACACAAAGACAAATCCTCAGCCAAGTGCATTTTAAACTTGCAGCAGATTTAAACCGTAATTTGTCAGGGCCAGTCGGTTTATGCTTTCTGCAGACCTCTTAGCATCCTTTCCGTGGCAGTTTCCCTGCCTTTATACGCTGCTAATTGGCGTGTTTATGATTGCAACACAACTCATAAAGCGTCTCACATTAGTCACACTCACACCACTCATATTTACTAGACCAGAGCCGTGATATGATATCACATTTCCACTGTGTGGCTCTGGCCAAAGCCTATCATTGTTTTGCCTTATAATCTGCATCTTTTGCGTTTTAATGTTGAATTCCCCTCGACACTAAAGAGAAGAGAGCGTGCACAATCCTGATGAAAACAACTCTGCTGCTTCTCATTCAAAAAGAAATGTCAGCGAGTAGCTAAGGGCAACTTTAGAATTTTCCTTACAAATAGTATTAGGGTATCAAATGCGCACGTCTTAAGGTTGACAGGTTAAATAATTTGCTGTATACAAGCTTTGAAAACTACAGCCCACAATAAGAAAATATACGGTTTAATACGATAAAATAAATACATGTTTACCTTTAGTATAGTATAGTATCATAATACTAATTTAGTATTGCCATTTCAAGTCTATTTTATGCAGGTATTTTTATTTATTTCATTAAGTCATTATTATTATATTTGTATTATTATTATCATTAGTAGTATTATAGACTTTTGTTTGTTGTTATTTACTTACGGGATCCGTCACTTGCACATTCTGCCTCGCTGCCCCTGTCGCTGGTGCACGCTCTGTCGGCCCGCGGCCCCGGGCTCCCGGTTAGATCAGCGACATCAGTTCCGTCCTCGTAGCCAGGAGACACAGTATCCTCTCCGGCCGTCCTGCGTCTCTTTTCCGCTCCGATCAGCGCTTCTACCGAGAATGCATGCGCCTTGACACTCAGCGCGCACGGAGACCGCCGCTTCTCTGCCATTTCTCTCGGTCTCGGGACGGAGGAAGGAGAGGAAGGAGACGGCGTCACGAGCTTGCAGGGAGCACGGAAAGTTCACAGCACAGACAGTCGCAAAAATCCACGCGGACAGTCCGGTGCTTTCGGTTTGTCCGTCCAAGAGCCGGGCCGCAGAGGGAACAGAGGGAGCCGCGACGAGCTGTAATAGTGTCTCCGTTATCCGTGAGAGCCGTGCGGACTTTTGGAGAGTGTCAACAACCGGAGCTTAGAGGAGAGCCGGAGAAGGGGACCTGTCAATCACAACACAGAGCAACCAATCACGAGTAATCACAGCCCCCCGGAACTTTTCCTGGTCCCGCCCGCTGTGGGGGCCGCTCGTGCCGCCTTATGTGGTAAAAGTAAAGCTGGTGATTGAATCATGTCTTCAGGCGAAGGAGCGCGAGGAGCGTCTCTCTGGGGCATTGCGCGCATTTTCACACACCGGCCCGACATGCTTTGCATATCAGGTCGTTAGTACCTCCTGCACCGTGGCCCCAATCCTGGAAACGAGCATTTCTTACAGCATCGACGTGTTTCTCATAATGTCTTTAAATGTTTTTGAGTGTGATGATCATTACATCTATGAGCGGCCAAAATACATTTGGTTAGGCTGCTGATATGATCACTGGCCCATATAAAGAGAAAATATATGTTCAAAATTTGTTTTATTTTTCTTTCTGTGCCCTTCAAATGACACCTTTAAAAAAATGTGAATTCTGAACTAGGTCTATGAAATGTGTGTGTGACTATCAGTTCTCCAAACGTTGTGATCCAACGTCAGACAGCAGAAACAGTGTTACACAACAGAAGCTCTGCTTCATGGCATTATAACGAGCTGTATTTATTGGACAAAATCGACGGTTTCACTTTTTGCTAAATGAAACAACATTATGCAGCCGGGCACAAGTGTCCTATCCCTGACTTCAATGCTCAACCAGACCGTGTCTCCCTGCAACAACAAAACATGTTCTGCTGAAAAAAAGATGAAGTGAGAAGTTGCAACTGCACTAAAATAAAACTGTAGTCGCAGCATAACATAATCAGTTGTTGATCACAGCCACAGCCACATACACTGCAATGTTTAAATAGCCCAACGAATATAGACTTGGCCTATACGTTATAGATTTATCTTTAACGATGTCAATTTAATGATAATTATTTATCATCACAGTGCCTGTTGTTTTTTTATTTTGGTTTGGAAATGTAAGTAATAAATATATACATAAAATTTGACTTGAGTCAATAAATAGGTAAATGGACTAACAGGCCGTAGTCATGATCATGATACAGGATCACAGGAGTGATTTAATATGCGACCCGCTGAAGTTGAGGAGTTGAGAGATGAGTTGGATTCTCCTCCATCCGCGCGTTTGGAAATAATCTTCCACACTTTCAAGGCCGCGTAAATGAGCGTGTGGTCACGCGGGGAATGCGTGTTGGTGTGGGTGCGTGTGGAGGCTATAACATATGGAGGGCCAGAACCTGCAGCTATAAATAAACAAGGCAGCGAGGCCGTGCACGTGTGTGTGCGCGCGTGCGGGTTTCTTAAACTGAAACCGGTATACAGAGTCCAATGAACACAAACCTGACCACCAAACTGTTTAATATGCTGCACTTTATATTAATGCAGCAACCAATGCATTAATCAGCCCACTAATTTCTTACTTAGCAACCTCTTGTTGAAGCCATTAATCGAGGTTTTAACGGAATAACTGCAGTTGATTATAAGAAATGCCATTAGTGACATCAGGATTTAATACATTTGTTTAAAGTTTATTTGCTTCGGTGATGTTTCCTTCGCTAAAATCACTGAAAAGCTCAAGGCCTCTCGTGGCTTGTTGCTTAAATAAACAACACGTCGTGATCGTTTATTGGCGTACATTCAGTGTAAATGATGGGACGTCAAGGGGAAGGTCTGTGCCCATATCCGTGTGGGTTATCAGATCAAACGCCGCGTGTTTCACTTCCCGTGGGCATTTAAAAATGCCATATTTGTTAATAATTCCGTGAGAAATAAATAGGTTACGCTCTTTGAAATAGAGTTTAGTTTCGATTCGGCAGCTGCATGAATGATCCTGGCGTCGGCATAAATAGCCTGTAAACTTTTACAACTAAAATGTTTGCTCTTAAGCGACGATCAGAAACAAAGACAATCTAAAGACAGATTTAGTGATAGCGCGTTACCGATTTATGTTTCCTCTTTATTGAATTTAAGCAAATTGTGTTTTACAATCAGCCTATAGGCTACATAAAACACTAAAACGTAACATACCTCTAAAAATATTTTAACTAAATAGCGTGTATTTCTTCAGCTACCATAATGTGAGAAAAGTAAAGGTTCAGTTGATGGTATTGTTCCAAAATAGGCAATTAATGCGTTAACCGTTGATAACAAAATAAACATACAATTAAAACGTTATTTATGTTCACTTCTTGATCATATCATATCATTGTTTGTTGACAAAAAACTAAAGTCGTATCTGCTGAATATTGCCATCTTGGAAATAATAATAATAATAATAATAATAATAATAATAAATAATAATAGGCTAATAATGATTTA